TTAGCGAACCCGGATAAGCCAACAGCTCATCAGCGACTAGACTGGCTGGGAGAACATCATTGAACAGTGTTTAGGCGACTGATAACACCTAGCGCCTAAAGGTATGCTGCACCCCAAGCAACTCGTTTCAAACCGGATATAAAGAACGTTTTGTATATGCAAGCATGTGCAAAAATCTCATATTAGAAATTATTTACGCACGTGCACTTCTCAACTGCCGCGGAGCAAAACCTACTAAAGTAGTTACATAATTGCTGGTATCCCAAATCATGCTCAACAAACTCGCTTGACGCAGGCAGCCAAAGCCAAAGCGATACAAGCTGTCGCGGCTCTATATGGCTCTTAGCATACAGAGGTGGTCACGGTGCCTACCCACATTTTTGAACTTAAATATATAACCGATGCTCAACAAGCTCGTTTGTTGCATCCTCCCAAAACTCCTCCAGAGTTTTCCAAACGGCAGCACTCTTCATGACTTACTACCAAGAAGAGGTGAAAACTGGTTCCAACTAGGGCGTCCAAAATTTTGTAAAATATAGTACACTTCCAATATATATAGTATTTTATGTAAGAGAACAAAGTAAGTTAAAATCTTTTTTCTCCAATATATTTATTTTCATTTTGGCAGTTTTTCACAATTCCTTGTTAACCACGAAAGTGTTGTATGCCCTTTATCACAATCAATATTTAAATTAATATAAATCAAAAGTTAATTTTTTGTTAGTGAGGTAATCGTTTTGTTTCTCTCATCTCGCCATTTCAACAGGGATGAAAAAGTAGGTACAATTGTACTTTCATGACTTAAAGGTACATTAGGTACAGTTACTAGATTTTAGGTACAATCATCTTTTGATGCATTGTTAGTTTTTGTTTTCCTTTACCGTGCTAATATGTTTACATATAGGCACGGGAAAAGCTTCGCTTTCATTTTGATGAATAAACAATTATATAGAAAAGTGATCAATAGGAAGAAATTAAAAAGGTACAATTATGTATTATCTTAAACATTTTACATTGCATTTAGAGCAGCCACTACGAAAAATTAACACTTTACTTAATAATAGATTGGCGCTTACACATATATTAGTGTTTGGCCGAGCTTCTCATCACTTTACTAAGCTATCCTAAGATTCGTAGTTTTTTTTTCTATTGATTCAATGGCATTTACGGTCAAATGAGTGAAAACAAATGGTCAAATGGATCTAAAAATGGTCTTTTGATTGAGTTAGATCAGAATAGGCTTTCAGGTGTGTACATGCGCTGCTAAAGCGGCTATTTGTAAGTTTTTGGCCCATAATATCATCGATAAAGGTAGTTATAAAGGAAAGAAAGTTGTGTCAAAATATGTCGACAAATTTTGTTGTCAAAATATGTTTAGGATGTCTTCAAATTTCATATTTTCTTTAGATGAGAGCTATAGCTATTTGACCCATATTCGCTTTTTGATTTCTGAAAATACATACATATATTTAAAATGCTTTCGAAGTTACTTACGGCAATTTGATTATTTTCTCTAGACTTGCTGCACCTATTAAAAGGAATTGGATAAATTAGCAGACTTTTCCTGTTGTTTTATAAAAAGCTGGATAAAGAAATATGTTTTAAAGTGTATGTTTTTAAAGTGTGTTTTTTGTTTTTTCGCTAATATTTTCAGTAGACAAAAACAACGCTTCTACGACTCCCATTAGACTATAGTATATAGATATAGGCCCAGTTAAAAAAAACCTGATCATGTTTAAAGTAAATCAGTCATTTGTATTCCTATTATAAATAAAATTTATAAAAAAACTACAAATGATGGATGTAACTTTTTTTAGGTACAATCTGTCATATTTAGGTACATTTATTTTATGATATTAGGTACAATCTGAAATTTAAATTTTTCATCCCTGCATTTCACATCCATAACAATAACAACTAAAAAGTACGGGAATACAAAAAAGCATTTTTCCTGTATAAAAAGTCAAAAATTTTCCTTTCAAATTACAAAAAAAGAAGCCGAACAAATGGAAGCAATAAATAAAAGTTGATTGCTAGCCAGGAACATTAAGGGCCAATTTCACAATGCGTAGTTAACTCGGAATCGGGAGTTAACTACAGATTTTTGTACTGAAAATCTCTAGTTAACTGTCGATTCGGAGTTAACTACGCACTGTGAAATTGGCCCTAAATCGCATACGAAACGGTAATATTTACGGTAATACTTTAATATTTTTCGGTATCAAATTGACAACAAAAAATTTTTGTTTACTTTTGTTTAACAGCTGATCGCTTGACACTTTTCATGATTTTACCAGAAGAAAACGTTCGGGTAAAACCTTGCAACTTCATTCTCTACACAACTCTCCAAAAATCGCTCTCATTTACAGGATTTTGGAGAACGGGACAATTTTTCCTGTAAGTTCATGGAATACTCATAAGTTCATTATGGGATTTCCAGCTAAATACGATTTTTTGTTTTTTTTGCACCTTAGTCATTGATTGTAAACTAAGAATGGAGATTTGAGTAAAAAGTTAGCCTGATCCATACATGTAATAAGAACACGATCTAGCGAACAGAAGGTGACGCATTCCGCAAACCGTTACTTTGGTTTCGTCGATTTTTACAGTTCTCGAAAGTATTTAAAACACTTTTCCTATCGAAAAATGCAATATTAAGATAATTGACTAATCTAACATTCTCTTTTATCCTCCCATTCGGCTACGCTACTTTTTACTACGGCATCACAAGTATAGTGTGCGAAAATAATTGGTCGTCTAAGGGCCGTTTTCTGAAGTTACCGTTAACTTTAACGCTCACTTTTTTATTTAAAGGTTGGATTAAAAAGAAAGCTATGTCTTAAGTTAAGCATTTCTATTATCGGTGTTTGACGTATGTATGTTTCTTGGTTGTAAACCAATTTAAAGCGCTTTACTTTAGACACAATCACAAATTTTAATGCAGACTTTAAATATAAAGTGAGCTTTAAAGTCGTAGGTTACTTGAGAAAACGGCCCGAAATCTTTTAGCACACAAGTTCAAGTATTCACAGTCGAGGCTAATGTTAGCTCTACTTATAGTCGTGATTTTGCTCGTTAATTGTATATATAGTCACACGCTGTACCAACTGGCTGTGTCTCATTCACGCATTAGCTTTATTTCTGTATTAGAAAATCATTCGCTGAACAAATTTTAAGAAGTACGTACTACCACTTCATAGATCCTGGGTTCGATCCCTGATGTGAGCAACATCTAAATTTTTTTCATACGACGAGGGCAGGGACTTATTACACGGCCTTTTTAAATAAAATAATAGTCCACCGCCTCAATAGAATCTCTCGATGTTTTCAAAATAAGAGAGCCGCTTGTTGCGGTTTGAAAACAGCTGCTGAATGAGCGTACAATTCGTAGCCTATTTCGAGCAATTTTTCCACTTCAACTACATACGTTTTTAGCCGTGCATTGCTTTGGTGGGAGAGCATCGCTTTGACTATTCCATGAGCTCTGGTGCATGGTGCTGGATCCCCATTTTCGTCCCTGCTTACGAAACTGTGAAAAATCTCGTCCACGGCACCTTTCCAAGGATAGCTTTTTTAAGGTCCAAATATACATTAAAACGTGATGAATATGCTTAGTTGAAATGCCAGAAGCTTCAGCCACCTCAACCATTTTCTATTATCCGATCGCCCAAGATAACTTTATACATTTTATCGGCAATTTCTGGCGTGACGACTTCATTGGGGCGACCTGAACGCCGTACTGGTAAAACCCCATGGTGTAATAATAACAAGGTGTTGTCAGTAACTTAACCTCACTTTTTCGGCAGGTCTATTCCGGTCACGCATTTTAAAGTAGTAGAAAAAGTACTAATTATTTACTACTTTTAATCCGTTCATGCGTACTATTTCAAATTAAATGTAGAAAAATGTTTAATTACAGGCCTATAAGCCTGAATATATGTTTGTATCGTATGCTCCACACAGGTTGCACATATATTGTAACTTATAAAAAAGTACAGGCCGTAAAATAAGGCAATTTCCTATAAAACTGTAAATGATTTTTTAAATAGATTAGTAATAATAATAATAGATTGGCGCTTACATATATGTTAGCGTTTGGCCGAGCTTCTCCTCCGACATGTGGCGTGCGCCTTGATGTTGTCACACAAAGCGGAGGGACCTACAGTTTTACGCCGACTCCCAACGGCGATTGCATTTTTATGAGAAGCTGTTTTTCATGGCAGTAATACACTCGGAGGTTAGCCATTTCCTGCCGAGGGACGACCGCTGTTAAGAAAAAACCTTTTTTCTATATTT